GTCCCCCAGGCTCGCAGCCCGCAGCGCATTCCTCCGCGGAGTCCCTGCACTGGGACAGCCCCGCGTACAAACGCAGGCACCCAGGCCCCAGCCAACACTCAGACACATGTGTGCACACAGACCCACGTGTGCAAACATGCACGCGAGACAGAGCCCCGCAGACAGGCACATACAGACGCAGACGCACAGTCGCACGTTCCCAGTGCCAAGGAGGGGAGAACTCCAAGCAGAGGAGGCCGCCCTTGCAAAGACCCAGCTGCCTGAGGAGCTCCTTAGGGTTCCGTTCTGACAGGTTGGGGGGTGGGGCTGGGAGCAGCAGGCCCTTCGGGGCCACCCACCAAAGTGGAAATCTTGGAGGTGAAGATGCCTGTAGCCCCCACGCCAGGTGTCCCCCACCTGGCACTGCCATGCTCTCCACTAGCCCAGGGCCTCACCCACAGGGCCCAGGCAGGTAGGTACCCAGAGGGATCAGGGCTGTGCCCCCAGGGAGGCTAGCAGGGTCTGGCCACACCCTCCAGAACCAAGGGAGCCTGGCTAGCGGAGACCAGCCCACCCTGAGTCGGGCTGGGAAAGCCCCGGACACGCCTCTAACCCCAGACCCCTGGCCCCATGTTACCCAAGGGCACAGGCCTAGGCCCCAGCTCTGTCCAAAATGGCCCTCCCCTGGGTCATCAGAGCCACAGCCACTGGGCATCCCTGGAGGGCCCTGGCCTGCAGCCCCAAATCCTGTGCAGCCGGGCTGGCCCGCTGGTGCCCCACCCTGACCCCGCCAGGCCTGTCCCGCCTCAGAAGCTGCTGTGACACAGGCCCCGCTGCTGTCACTCTGCACCCCCTTTTGTATCCACCGGGACTGCAACCCACATCCCGGCCTGAGAGGGGTCCCTCACTCCCAGGGCCGTCCCAGGGTCAGGCGGGCTGCTCCGATGCTCGGGCCCGTCCTCAGCGCCCAGCAGAGGGAGGGCTGGGGACGAGCAGGCACAGTCTGGGCGCACAAACAGGTCCCAGCACCCCGCGGAGCCTCAGTTTCCTCATCTGTACAGCGGGCAGGGGCCAGATTAGACCAGCTGGGGGGCCATGGCCTGTCATCAGGGAACACAGGTGACAGAAAAGAGAACTGGACCAGGTGTGCCCCTGCCGCCGTGCCCACGGGGCCAGGGAGGAGGAACTTGGCCAATAGAAAAGCAATCCGTGTGCAGGGGCGGCTCCCGCAGCACAGCCAGGCTGCCAAGTGCCCGACAAGTCTGGGCACAAGTCCTTCCTGTCCTGGAAGTAAGTCCTCGAGAGCCTGAGAGTCCTCGTGGGTCCCCCCCCCTGCCCCCCGCAGCACTCCTCTGCCCAGGGCTGCCCACCCGGGGCCTCCCTGTGGCACCTGGGGCCTCCCTGTGGCACCCGGGGCCTTCCTGTTGCACCCGGGGTCTCCCTGTCACACCCAGGGTCTCCCTGGGGGGTGCCCAGGGGGTCTGAGTGGAGGGGCAGAGAACCTGCAGGAAGGGGTGAGCTGTGAAGAAACGACTCTGTGGCTCCCGCTGCCCCTGGTGTCCCGGCCGCATCCCTGGATTGTCCCCCAGAACCCAGTGCTGGCACCTCAGGCTGAGCCGCTGAAGAGCCGGCACTCAGAGTCCGAGCTGGACCTGGGCAGAGGGTTTCTAGGAAGTTCTGGTCCAGATCTTGGCTCCTCCGGCCTCTGCGTGGTTGGCCCTGGGGAGCCCCCGCTTCCACAGCCAACTCAGAGGTCACCTTCTCCTCAAAGCACCCCCAGACCCAGCTGCTGCTGCCCTGTGCTCCCCCACACCTGGCCCATCCTGCTACACTTACCCATTCACTCACTCACTCACGCATTCGTGCCTTTCACTCAACAACGGCCTGTGTGCCCGCTCGCTCTGTGCTGGACACGGTTCTGGGGTGCAGTGGTCTCCCCACCTAGTGGAGGGTTACATTCGGGAGGAGGTGCGGGCGGCTCTGGGCCTCCGTGCCCAGTAGGCCGGGTGTTTGGACTCGGGCATGGCCATGAGGGGCTGCAGCTGCCAAGTCCGGACGCCACGGGCAGCCCAGCGGTGCCCACGGCCCCCACCGCCTTCCGCGCTGCCGCCGAGCGCATCCTGCCCGGGCTGTGGGTCTGGACGCGGTTTGGGAAATGCCTTCCCGATGCGGAAACACGGAATGTCTGTGTCAGCAGCAGGGCTGTCCCCACCGTGG